GGCCAGGGTGTTCCGACCACGCACTGTGACAACACAATCCCTATAAACCTGTGCGGCCATAATAAACTTGCCAACCGGAGTAGATACAGAGAACGGCTCATGAAGTTGTTTTGGTTTTATCCCAAATTCCATAGCAACATAGGGAATGACATAGGACAACGTGGAATCGGGATAAATAAGAGCATACACATCATGATATTGAAAAGTCAATATACATGTGACAACATTTGAAGAAGCCTCTGAATCCCGACACCTCCGCATAGTATAAAATATGTTGGGTCCTCCTGAACTCTATGCGCTACCCCTAGCTGCACCACGCCCTGCGGGTGTTGGGGTGCCTCGAGCTGGAGGAGGTATTGTGAATGTAGTAGTTGCAAAGTTAGCTAGTTGCGTTGTACCTATGCCCATGATCTGGCGGGACGAGTAGCAATCCCTCTGAATGTGGCCCCTCACACCACACCCTTAGTAAATAGGTAGGTCCATGAAGCAGACCCCAAAGTGCATCCTCCCACACTTAGGGCATAGGGGCCTTCGTTGCTGCTGGAATCTTCCTCCAGACCGACCCTGCTAGTGGGGTCCCTTGTTGCCCTGACTGGGCCCGAATGGTTGTGCACTCATTGAAGACTGAGCGAATGACTGAGATGGCCCTAATGACCCTCCCCTAAATGCTGACCTACCGCCACCAGAAAAACTACCCAAGTTGCCCGCGGTCCGGGGCTTGCTGCTACCCTCACGCTCATTTGTATTTTTCAGTTTACGATCCTCTTTAGCTTGAGCAAACGCCATCATCTTCCCATAGTTCTTATCAGAATTCAAAGCAGTCGTAGCGGCGTCATTAATAACCAATGGGCTAATGCCCTGCACAAACCGATGCAATCTAGCCTTCATAGTGGGCAACATGCGAATAACATGCATAGACAGGCGCGCGAACTCCATATGGTACTCCCACACATTCATGCTACTTTTCTTCATGCTCTCAAACTTAGCAGAATGGGCTGCCTTAGTCTCAGTAGACAAGAAATGATCCATAGAGGCATCGGTAAACTCACTCCACCTCGTTGGAGGGCTTCCCTCCTCACGACACTCCTCCCATATCTCAAACCAAGAATAAGCCACCCCTTTCAGGTGGTAGGAGGCCAACTCCACTCCCGGGTTTTCGGTAAACTTTTATGAGACCTTACATTGATATACACCCCTCATACTCTCACAATGCTGCCTCGCAAATGACGCCAATTGGCATAAAGCTCTCTGAAAATAGTAAGGTTAGCCTTGTCGTGGCCCTTCACGATAGGTCTCTATTGTTGCACCTCTCGGATTGATTTCAAAGGTCCGGGTAATTTTTCTTCAGTGCTCCAATGTTGATTGGCTTTTCTAGAATGTATTTCTTAGAATCCAGGATTTTCTCATAAGCCCGGAATGCTTTTTCGCTAACAAAATTCTTTTCCAAAGCAGCTCGGTCAACTGGTTCACCATCATCTTCGTTGCTCGTGTAGACATTTGTGAGCTCATAGTCCGAATCAGACTCAAACTCAGATTTTGAGGTAGCCTTCTACTTTCCTTTATCTTTTGGATCAACCTGCTTTGTGGATTTCCTCTTCTTCTTGATTCGTCTCATCAAGTAATTGCCTGATCGGTTGTGCCTTTTCTTTCTTAGTCCACTTTCTTTTGTTATGTGGGTTTGGAGCACCTGTTGCCTTTCCGGTAGGCTTTTTGTGTGGTTGCTTGTCATTATCTCTTTCTTGTTGCTTAGACGTTTTGCTTGTTGCCGCCATTGTGACACCTATGTTCCTACAGAATAAGTAGTGTAACAGTTAGTTCTCAGGACATTAAAGCTTCATGTACACAACATCTTTGCAAACAAGTTTCAATTCCAATCACGCTCACAACTATATCATTGAGTATTTCATTTCAAAACATTCTTTACAACTTCACTGATTCTTTACAAGCTTCAGAATTTAAGCATCAAACAAGAAATTCATGTAATATAATTGTGTATTAATCCTCTTGAGAACTGTATTTAGATAACCTCTTCGTCACATAGCAAGTGCAGCTACTTGATTGTATGTAATTCAGCCCGAAAATTGGTTACTCGGTAGCCTACTACCATTAGATGACTCAAAACTAGAGTTGAACGAGTGGCGGGCATCCGTAGCTCCAATAATGCTGATCAAGAAGTCTAAAATCCCTCAAACAACCCCACACATATTCATGAGCAAGTAGTGATGCTCGGTTACTCAGACTTCGTCGGCGCCTAAATTCACTTCACAGGCAATTCGTCGAACAAGTGGAGTGCAACAGTTTTGCCTAGTGTCTTCTAACAGTTGGGCAATTCAAATACCCTCCCAAAATTAATGAGATGAAGGGAATTTTAGTTTATTATCTCTAAATGTAGTGGTGGTACGAGGGAGGGGAGCTGCGGTTAGGGTGGTTTTTATGCGGAGAGGGAAAGGCAAGAATGGGAGAGACGGGTGTTTAAAGTGTTTAAACAAAACACTTACCTGTGCGCGTCGAAAGGGACACGACGTGTCTGCCTTTGCTCCCAAAATTTTGAGGGGAGGCGACCTTGGTCGCGATGGCCACATTCCACTATCTCGCGGAGTTGGTATTAAATTTTTGGATGCTAAGGGGGATGCGACGCATCCACCCTGTTTTCCCATACCCGAAACTTTTCTTTATATATATATGAAAAACAAAAAGAAAAGTTAGTAAACTATGAAACCAAAATAAAATGTTTGGTTTACCTCCCAAGAACGCTTGATTTAACGTCGCGGCACGACGACACCAATCCTCAAGCATCTTTCAAATCAACTGAGGACTTGTGACTATCCACGTCACCACCCCAATAACGTTTGACTCTTTACCCATTGACCAAGAATGTCCTTTTGGAATTTGACGCTCTTAACTCTATAGCCTTGTATGGTGTCACACGCACTATTTCAAAAGGTCTAGACTATCTCGACTTTAATTTTCTAGGAAACAAAATCAGCTTGGAGTTGAATAACAATACCAATTGGCCTGGCTCGAAATGGCTATGCTTCATGTGCTTGCCATGCCACCTTTTAGTCTTTTATTTATATAGCTTGACATTCCCATATGCATTCAACTTGAATTCATCTAGCTCATTGAGTTGGAGCAATCTCTTCTCACTCGCCAACTCCATATCCATATTGAGCTTTTTGACGGCCCAAAAGGCCTTGTGTTCTAGCTCAACTGGAAAGTGACATGCTTTGCCATAGATTAACTTCTAAGGAGAGGTACCAATAGGTGTCTTATATGCCGTCTTATACACCCATAAAGTGTCATCCAACCTTGTAGCCCAGTATTTCCTATTTACCCTGACTGTTTTCTCCAAAATTTGCTTTATTTACATGTTTGATACCTCTGCTTGCCCACTCGTTTGAGAGTGCTATGCGGTGGCAACTTTATGCTTGACCTTGTATTTTGCTAGAAGGTTGTTCAAAAGTCTATTGCAAAAATGCATACCTTCATTACTTATCAGAGCTCGAGGAGTCCCGAAACGTGTAAAAATGTCCTTCTTGACAAATTTAGCCACACCACCTTCGCATCATTAGTAGGTAAAGCAATGGTCTCCACCCACTTAGACACATAGTCAACTTCTAACAAGATGTATTTGTTCCCTCTAGACGATGGGAATTGTCCCATAAAATCGATCCCCCAAACATCGAAAATCTCCACCTCAAGAATGTTCATAAATGGCTTCTCATTTTTTCTAGTGATTGTTCCAGCACTCTGACACCGATCACACTTGTTCACAAATGAATGGGCATCATTAAATAGATTCGGCCAATAGAATCCCGATTGCAGAAGTTTTGCAGTTGTTCTATCACCACCATGACCCCATAAGGTGAGGAGTGACAATCGTACAAAACCTGCTCCACCTCCTTCTCCGGAATGTATCTCCTCAGCACACTGTCGATACAAGAACGGCTCATCACAGAAATAGTAGTTTATGTTATGTAGGAATCGTTTCCTCCCTTCAGGTGTCATTTCTGGAGGTAGTACTCCACTCACTATGAAATTTACATAATTTGCATACCATGGTGACAGACCATGTGTGACTGCAAAGAGTTGCTCATCTGGGAATGTATCCTTAATCACCCCTCCTTTTTCCATATGCTCATGATTTTCTAGACTTGATAAGTGGTCAGCCACCTGATTTTCTATGCTCTTCCGATCACGGATTTCCAAGTTAGATTCCTGCAAAAGAAGTACCTATCTAATCAGTCTTGGCTTAGCATCTTTATTTGAGATTAAATACCCGATCTCCACATGATCCGTGTACACGATCACGTGCATTCCTACTAAGTAGGACCGAAACTTGTCAAAAGCATAGACCACTGCCAATAATTCTTTTTCCGTCGTGGTGTAATTGAGTTGTGCATTAGTTAGGGTCTTGCTGGCATACTAGATTGAATGAAACACTTTGTTCTTACTTTGTCCAAGCACAACCCCAATTGCTATATCACTCGCATCACACATCAACTAAAAGGGCAAACTCCAGTCAAGTGCGATAATGATTGGCGCACATACCAACTTCAATTTCATCTCCTCGAATGCCTTCAGACATGCATCATCAAACTTGAATGTGGCATCCTTTTCTAGCAACCTGCACAATGGATTAGCAATACTTGAAAAATCTTTAATGAAATGTCTATAAAAACATGCATGTCCCAAGAAGATGCGGATGCTCTAAACAGAGATGGGTGGAGGTAGTCTTTCCACTACCTCCACCTTGGCCTTGTCGGCTTCAATTCCTTGATTGGACACTCGATGTCCCAATTCAATAGCTTCTTGAACCATAAAATGGTACTTCTCCCAACTAAGTATCAGGTTAGTTTCCTCACAGCTTGCTAGCACCAACTCCAAGTTCTTTAGACAATTATCATAGGACAACCCGAAGACTGAAAAATTATCCATGAACACCTCTACAAATTTCTGCACCATATCGGTGAAGATGGCCATCACACAGCTTTGAAAAGTCATCGGTGCATTGCATAACCCGAATGACATCCTTTTAAAGGCGAAGGTGCCATAGGGCAAGTAAATGTAGTCTTTTCCTGATCCTCTGTTGCTATCACTGTCTGGTTATAATCGGAGGAACCATCAGGAAAGCAATAAAATTCATGCTCGGCTAGCCTGTCCAACATCTGATCAATGAAAGGAAGAGGGAAGTGGTCCTTGCGCGTACCCTTGTTGAGTTTCCTGTAATCAATACATACCCTACAGCCCGTCACCACTTTGGTATGTATCAACTCATTTTGCTCATTTGCCACAACTGTCATGCCTCCCTTTTTCGGCACGCACTGCACAGGACTCACCAAATTGTTGTCAGAAATAGGAAGTATGATCCCAGTGTTCAGCCACTTGATAATCTTCTTTTTTACTACCTCCTTTATAATAGTATTTAATCATCTCTACTGCTCCACACTAAGTCTTTTTCCATCCTCCAGGAATATTTTATGCATGCAAAATGATGGACTAATCCCCTTGATATCAGCAATAGTCCAACCAATTGTACATTTGTGTTCCTTCAGAACCTGCAGCAGCTTATCCTCTTGCATATGTGATAATGAAGATGAGATGATCACATGTAAGGATTTTGAAACACCTAAGTACGCATATCATAGATGAGAAGGTAAAGGCTTGAGCTCCAATTTTAGAGCCTCCTCAATCGATGGCTTAGGTAGTGTCAATGTCAATGGCCTATCGATTTCCTCAAATCTTTTCAACCCATTGACATACTGGCATGTCATGTTCAAAACTTGTACAATTTCTTCCACCAGGTCATCCTCCTCCTCTTCTTCATCAACTAAAGCTCTTCCCAAAGAATCTTCATATACCAAGTATGGTGTTGTGCCTGCCAATTCATCGTCCACAATTGTGATCAAGGCCAAATCTTCTTAGTGTGCTGGCAATTTAAGTGCTCGGTATACATTGAAGACCTCCACCTTGTCACCCACTCGCATGGTCATTTGTCCTTCACATACATCAATAATTGTGCGGCATGTGGCTAGAAATGGTCGTCCCAAAATAAATGGGACTTCCTGATCAAGCTCGTAATCCAGGATGACAAAATCAACTGGGAATATAAATGTGCCCACTTGGACCAGCACATCTTCAATGACGCCCTTGGGGCTGGCTAATGATCTATCTGCCAATTGCTATACCATCGTAGTCGGTCGAGGATCTCCCAACCCTAGCTGTCAAAATATGGACAATGGCATCAGTTTTATGCTCACCTCAAGATCACACAATGCTCACCCAACCACATGTTTCCCAATTGAAATTTGAATTGTGAAGCTTCCTGGGGCCTTCAATTTAGGAGGCAATTTCTTCTGAATTTTGGAACTACACTCCTCACTGAGTGCTACAGTCTCGGACTCAGTTAGTTTGCGCTTGTGTGCCACAATTTCCTTGATGTACTTTGCATACTTTGTCACTTCTTGAAAAATGACCACCAATGGGATGTTTATCTGCACCTGTTTCAAAATATCAAGGAACTTCTTGTACGCTGCATTATCTTTCACTTTCTGCAATCTCTGAGGGAATGGAGGTGGTGGCTTCGCAACTATTGGTTGTGGTTGCTTTGCCACGGCCTCTTCAATTGGCTTCTCTGATTCCTTTGCAGTTTCCGATTCGACTTCTGTGGTGGGTTGTTTTTCACTAAACGTCACTTGCTTTCTCTTCATCTATGGGACTTATTCTTATTCTCTCCCATTCCTCAATGACCCGGCATTAATAGGGGCCTTAGGATTAGCCTTAATGTCGCTTGGTAATGCTCCCGCTGGTATGGTGTTTTGGGCACTAGCAAGTTTCCCCATCTGTCGCTCTAAATTTCGAATAGTAGTAGCTTAATTCTAATTATTAGCCATAATCTTCTTGAGCATTTCCTCATTATTACCCATCGAATTTGCGGACTGATCTGCTTATGATGGGCAAAACTATTGATATTGACCTTGTGGTTTGAACTGATTCTGAGCACCCTTATTTCCACCCAGGAGAAATTTGGGTGGTTCCTCCAATTTAGATTATAAATATTACCATATTGATTCTGATTAGCATGGCCTCTATTAGCATTCCCCACAAAGTAAACTAACTCTGGATTCGCTGGACAGGCATCACTGGGATGGCCCTCGCCGCAGACTTTGCAGAACACCTGAACCTGCTGTACTAGTTGAACATATTCCATTGGTGGGAACCGTTGTTGGTTCTGAACCATATTCATCTTGCTGATTTGATTTGCTAAAGATACAGATAGTGCTGATACTACATATAATTCCAGTACCCCGGCAGCTTTATGGGTTGTGTCTCTACCTATTTTCCCTTGCCAATCTGGGTTGCTTTTGGAAAACTTGTTCAACAGCGCGTAGATCTCATCAAAGCTCTTTTCCAATACTTGACCACCAACTGTTGCGTCTACCACTATTTTTGTTTCAGGGTGTAGACCTTCAATAAAAGTGTAAGCCAGTACCTCGTTGGTTTGGTTATGTTATGGACAGTCTCTTAGTAGCCCCTTGAATCACTCCTAGGCTGCATAAAGTGATTCACCTTCTCTCTATTTGAATTCAACTATCTTACTTCTTATCTTTGCGGTTTTACCAGAAGAAAAGAACCTAGCCAAGAATTTCTTAGCCAAATCATTCCACGATGCAATATAGTTAGCTAGATCAGACTTCAACCATCTCTTGGCCTCTCCCAACAGAGAAAGAGGGAACAATGTGAGCCTGACATAATCGGATATGACCCCGTTAGTGATATAAGTATCACCAATCTCCATAAAATTCAGAACATGTTGTTAAGGGTCCTCGTGTGGCAGTCCCATGAACTATACATTTGCATGAAGTAGATGGATCATGCTCTGCTTAAGTTCGAAATGCCCAGTGATCCTCGGCTTAATGATACTTGAGGTGACATTAGCAATGCTGGGCATAGCCACCTCTTATACTGCCAATGGGTGTTCTTCCACCATTTCCACAGGAAGTTGAGTGAGTGCTTGTAGATTATTTGCTTCTCAAGCTTCTCTCAACCTTATACAAAATGATCTATCAGGTTCTGGGTCAAAAGCCTGTAGTCTATCATGGCTTCTAACTCACCGCATTCAAGAAAAGTACCTGAGATCAAACACCCAGCCAAAAAATGATTAAAAACTAAACTCGATGAGTATTAAAAGCTTAATCTAGTAAAATAATTAATTTCTAAGTCCCCTGCAACGGCGCCAAAAACTTGTTGCCCTAAATTGCACACGCAAGTATACGCGGTCAATCAAGTAATAAAGAGTGAGTAGAGTATCGTTCCCACGAGGACTTGTGATCAATTATCAACTAAATCCAGCAAATTCTAATTTATCGAGTCAAGAACAATGTCAAGGTGATTTTTGTTTAATTAATTCTACTAACTAGAGCTTTGATTAAAAGAAAAACTAATTAATTATCCTGTTGAATTCGTCAATCGACTCGACTTATTAATTTATCTGGGTTATTAACATGCAAGGACAATAATACTTGTAGAAATTTGAAATCTTCTACTCGCCCATTCAATTACTCTAACCCCTATATTCCTATGAGATTAGAGATAAAAAGAACGCATTACAATTTCTTACATAATTGGCTAAGCATGACAAATAGGTATATTTCTATCCGTATTCGTAAATCAATTCCCCAATGACTAGGTTCAAGATCGCGCTCTATTAAATCCTATTGCAATCAAAAATTATCTCTTTCAAGTTTAACTCAAGATTCATATATAGTATTTCATTGTTAGCTAGGCAGTAAAATAATTAAACTCAGGAATGAATAAACAACTCAATATGATAAATTAACTCATCAAATTAATATTCGAATATCAACATTCATGTAAAACCATAACCCCAGAACAAATGAGTTTAGCCACGCATAGTCATGGTAGTAATCTCAAATAATTCCCAAGAATACATACAAATCAATAAAAGAAGGAAAAAGTAAGAACTCAAGAAGAATTATGTGATTTCCAAACTCTGTGATGGCTTTTCTCCTCTTCCTTGTGTGTTCGATGACCTAAAAGAGGCGTTTTTGCTTATATATTGCGTACAAAAGTCGTGGGCCAAAGTTTTCATTTTTCTATTCTGAATCAGCTTCAGAGATTGATGCTGGGGTGTATGCTTCGCGTCCGCCTAAATTTGAACTTCTCAGCATCGAATGCTGGGGTGGATACTTCACGTCCACCCTCTATTCCCTCATCCTTGTTGCGCCCAAGTGCGGATGCTAAGGTGGATGCCTTCTCCCAACTTCACTGCCAAGGATGAACCAAATACCCTTTTTTCCTAGGTTGGATGCGACGCATCCACCCTCTTCTCTTATAGCTGAAGCATATTTTCTTCATACTTTTGCACTCCAAACATCCTAAATCATCACACATAACTCAATTAGTCATAAAACCAATAATTAACACATGTTGGGCATTTTAAAGATCAAATAGCATCAAAAGTATTTAAAACATGAGTAAAATAACATTAACACATATAGAAATATGCCCAACATCAATGGCATGTTGCAGTGTGCAGCCCGATCCACAATAGCACTCTCAACACGGCTCTATGGCCCACCTCAGTCATCAACCTCTCAAGTCTCAAGGGCTCATAATATCGTATCACTCAATCCAACAACACTGCATATGGAAAAATAATGATAACGTGCGATGTAACAATGGATGATGAACATAGACTGAGATATGATATGCAAATAAAGAATAATGACTGAGTGTATAATTACAGTTAAATCAGATAACCCAAAACAACAGAAATAGCCTCATAAGGTCTTAAACAAATAACCACATAACCAGAATATGATTTCCAACATGAATCATAGCTCAATTAATCAAACAAGTAGGAAAAACATGGATAAAATAGGACATGATGGCAACATAGTACAAAAGTCGATCCGGAACAAGATTTTTCCGGTGCACGCCCACACGCCCGTCACCTAGCATGTGCGTCACCCCAACACATCACAATAACATGGTTCCCAGGGATAATGAACCTCAATTACATATGTAGAAATGTTACTTACCTCAAAACATGCAAACCAATACTCTAACAAGCCCTTCCCACATGAATCAGCCTCCGAACAACTCGAATCTATTCACAAACAACTTAATATCATCAAATAATTTCGTAGGAAATAAATTCAAACAATAAAGTTTCGATCTTTATATAAATCAAAAGGTTAACCTCGGGTCCGTACCCCGGAACCCGATCAAACTCATAAAATTCGAACAAACATTTAATTATGAGTTCAACCATACCAATTTCATCCAATTTCGACCTCGATTCGACCTTCAAATCCTCAATTTTCACTTTAGGAAGTTTTTACTAAAATCCCCCATTTTTTCACTTTAATTCACCAATTAAATGCTAAAAATATAGATGGAATCATGAAATAATAATAAATCCGAGTCAAAAACACTTACCCCGATCCAAATCTTGAAAATCTCTTCCAAAACTGAGCTCGCTAACTCAATATGTGATATAATAATCAAACCCTCAAAATAGAGTTTTAAACCTTCTGCCCGGGTGTTTACCTTTCACTGTCGTGTAAAGTCCTTCGCGATCGCGTAAAATTCTTCACAATCGCGTAAAATTCTTCGCGATCGTGAAGAAAAAAGTTCACCAGCTGCTCAATCCTCTTACGAAAATGCGATAGATTCATCGCGAACGCAACAGATTCATCGCGAACCCTATGCCCGACACCCAAAAGCTACGTGATCGCGATGAACCACGTGATCGCGATGAACAAACGAGTGACATCCTCAGGCTTTCCCTTCCTTCTACGCGAACGCATCTCATCACTTGCATTCACAATGAACAAAAACCCCAAGGCTTCACGAACGCATCCATCTCTCACGAATGCGAAGAACAAAGACTCACCTGCTAGCAATAACTCTATGCAATCGCGACCGACTCTTCGCGATCGCGAATAAGGAAACCAGAAGCACATATTCAGTACTTCTTCTAAGTCCAAAATGAATCTGACAACCATCCGAAACACCCCCGAGACCCCATCCAAAGACACCAACCAGTCCTAAAACACATTACAAACTTACTTGAAGCCTCAAATCACATCAAACAATATCAAAATCACGAATCCCACCCCAATTCAAGCCTAATAAAACTAATGAAGTTCCAACTTCTAAGACTAATGTCGAACCATATCAAATCAACTCTGAATGATCTCAAACTTTGCACACTAGTCTCAAATGACAGAACGATCTATTCCAACTCCCGGAACAAAAATACGAACTCGCTATCAACAAAGTCAACTCTCGGTCAAACCTATCAACCTTCCAAACCTTCAACTTCCAACTTTCGCCAATTCAAGCCAAAATAACCTACGGACCTCCAAACCCAAATATGGATATACACCTCAGTCCAAAATCACTATACAAAGCTATCGGAACCATCAAAACTCCATTCTCGAGTCGTTTACAAAAAATTCAAACTCCGGTCAACTCTTCCAACTTAAGCTTCAAACCTTGGGACTAAGTCTCACAATTCACTCCGAAATATCCCTGAAACAAAACCAAACACCCCGACAAATCACATAGACATATAATAAAATAGAAGAAGTAGTAAATAGGGGAAGGGGGATACAATGCACGAAATGAGCAGTCGTGTCTTTACACAATCTCAGCATCTTTCACTCTACTTTCCTGCTCC